TTTTTTTGTATTTTTTTGCATTTTTTGTTTGCCTAATTGATGGCCTGTTAGAAACACCTTTTAAAAGTTATTTGCAAAGAGCGAACCTTTGTATGTCTTTCGGTGTGTGTATAAGATTGTCTACTGTCTGCCGCCTACCAATTTCGTACTTGATTACTTAGCGTGCACCTTTAAGTTGTTGACTAAGTTATTTAACTTAAGCTTTCTTAAAATATTTAACTATAATTATTTTTATGACTTATCTTGAGTGATAATGTTTAAGTGTTTTAACATTAAATTACACAATTTGTATGATAATAACCACGCGAAAAGAATAATCTGATAATATTATGACATTAAAATGTCAGCTCATTTTCAAAATCTGTTTAAACAAAGTTCTTAGATTATTTCATGGTAAAAAATTCAAAAGAATGTTAATAATATTAAATAGAAATATGTTGTCAATTTTTAGTATTTCTTAATTATATTCTTTCCTTAGTAAAAATACTTTTTAAATTAAATATTTCACCTTCATTGAAATATTTTACACTTTCTGAGTCGCTGTGTCATATCCTTTGGCTTATGCATGTTTCCTTTGTCATATTTTATATTTTATACGAAGTACATATTTGATTTATTATCTACACACTTACTTATGCACAACCTTCATGTCAATATTATTCAATTTTTCTGCACGTAGGTTTATTGAAAAAAGGTAATAAATTCCATTTTAAAATTAATATAACTCAATAAGTACGCAATACGTTTCTTCACTACGCGTAAGTGCAATATGTATTCATTCGTATTCTGTAACATTTACTCAAGTACGAGGGCAGCTTCGTATAAAATACAAATACTTACATATTTTATTTTAATTATATATTTTTTTAATATTTATAAACAATAAGATATTTGGGTAATATATTATCAAATTTTTTATTTTTAATTAATTTTTATATTTATATTTTTTTTTTTTGTAATATTTGAAAAGTTATATAGTGACATTGTTTTGTACACTTATATAGTTGATAATGTATATAATGTATTTTTATCAGATCTACACTGCACCTATTTATTTATCAAATACTCCTTTTTTGCTCGACTAACAAAAATTACACGCACGAGTTATTTCTATTAGGAATAATCGCAGAGATCAACTCGGCCGTAGGGAAAGTTGAAAGTAGTAAGGTAAAAGTAGGGTAACCACTCTCTTTTTTTAGCTGTTTTGCCTTGTCGCTATTCATACTAAGTATTATAGATTGTTTTTTCAAATAAATTCACTGAGAGTAACTTATTAAACTGTTCATTCCTTATAATCCTCACTGCAGAAGTTCTACAAACCTGCAGGAAAAAGAAACCGTCCAGAAGAAATAAATTTTTAGGAAGATATTTCTTTAAAAGTTTATCAGACTGTTCATCGGTAAATACGAAAGATTTATTAAATTAATTAAATTTGACGGGATGGATTTAGTCTATATTCTTCTATTTTAGGGGGTCTTGTGAGGAATGTGGTAGCAAAACGGCGAAAAATCGCTAATTGAGGTACATATTAAACCTTTTAAGTTGCATTGTATCCTTTGTATTTTTTTTATGGATTTAACACTTTTTTTATGTATTTAATTATAATTAACAGTAATTCCTTTATTAGCATAGATCAAGTCTTATATGTCTTGTATAGTGATTCTTACTGTGTGCCGAAACCTCCATTATGGATAATCATATCACAATTATTTATGTTAGTATACTTCTCTTTTTTGTCTCGAAAAGATTTTGATTTGAAAAACTGTTTTTTATAATTTATAATTTTTTTTTTATAATTTTATTTTTTTTATAATTTTTTTTTTATAATTTTTTTTTTATAATTTAAACTTAATATTTTTATAATTTTTTTTAAATTTTTTTTTTAATATTATTTTTTTTTTTAAATTTTTTTTAAAATTTTTTTTTATTTAAATTTTATATTTTTTTTAATATTCTTTTTTTTAAATTTTATTTTTTTTTAAGTTTTATTGTTTTTTTAAATTTTATTGTTTTTATAATTTTATTGTGTTTTACAATTTTATTGTGTTTTTTAATAATTTTGTTTTTTCAATAATTTATGTTTTTTATACATAATTTTTTATATCACTTTTTTTTTATTTTCCATTTTATTTTATTTCAATAATTTTATTATTTTTGTAATTTTACTTTTTTATAATTTTATTATTTTAAACTTAAATTTTTTTACATATAATTTTTTTTATAATTCTATTTTTTTTGTAAATATATTTTTTTTCTAAATAAATTTTTTTGTATAATTATATATGTTTTTATAATTATATTTTTTTGTATAATTTTATTTTCTTTTATAATTCTTTTTTTTTTTTATAATTGTATTATTTTTAGTAGTTATGTTTTTTTAAATATTATTTATTTATATTTTTTAAGTACATACATCCCATATTAACATATATTATTATCAAGCTTTCTTCAGTTTAAGTACTTGTATAGTTTAAAACTTATGCAGCGCCCTTCGTGCCACGTTCTAAACATATCTCAATCTATACAGTAGATTTTATATTATATGCAATTTTTTTTTGTGTGTAGATACGCATAGATAGATATGTACGCATACCTTAAAAAAATGGCAAAGTTCATTATGTACGTGACTCAGTAACAATGAAGAATTTCTCATTACTTTGTTGCATGCAAATTTGCTCCTATTTTCTTTTATGATAATAACAAAAAAAAAAATTCACATCATAAAAACGTAATAATTGAAGAGATAAAATTATGAAGTTAAAAAAGTTCAATAAACCTTTATTCATATCAAGATATAATTGTCCCCCTGTACAAATCAATGGTTTTTATATAAAAGACAAATATAAAGATATATGTACTTATATATGAATAATAATATACGTATAATACATATAAAATTTTGATATAACGAATCCTTCACTGCTTATTTCATATCAAAATATTTTTATATTATATATATTTTTATGTATTAGATATAGATAACTAAGCTTCATAGTTTGATAAGATTGCGTACAGACTTGTGTCAGAAACAATAATAAAGTGGAATTTGGTTTCTTTATAATCTGTGCTAAATCTTGATAACATTGTTGAGTGCCCGGTTGGAAGTGGCTTGCTAGAAATGAATGAGATATCAATAAATTTCTTTGTGTTTTTCCTATTTTTCAAGTTCAAATTGCACCTTGGAAAAAGTGTGACTCAAATTTATTTTTACACTACTAAAAAAATATTTATCTTATTTCCTATTTAAAATCTAAATTTTATCTTGCAAATCATTTATAATTAGTTATAACGTCTCAAATGCTCCGATGAATTAGTTAGTATGTTTTCTTTAGCCGGTCAGTCTACACCATTCTACATTCTTCATTCCACATTTAGTGCTTGAAATATTTATTTTAATATTAACTAAATATTAACTTAAATGGTTTGGTATGTATTAGTTACATATATTATATTAATATATGTATATTTAATGTGTATATTATATACTGATAATAATTTCAGTAACCTTAATGATAAGAAACATTTTTTATTATATTAACAATTAAGAATAGTAATAAAAATAATATACCTCTGCATATTAAACACAGTTATGATTTTGTTAAAGCTTTTATAGGAATGCTTACTGAATTCCAAATCATACTTTTTAATTATAAATCTACTCAAAAGTATTGAAAATGATGGGTTTATATATGTTATACTTAATTTCTGCTATGCATGCACTTTTTTCATTATATATTGTGTGATCCACACAATGAATAATTAGAATGCGGCGGTTTTGCTTAATTTAATTAATTTTTTTTTGTTCTTGAAAACTTTCACATTCCTGTTGTATATAGACATTTAAGTTCGTCGAATACTCTATCTGATTCCTAAAATTGTTTCAGCTTGTAATTACTAATTTTCCCTATTTCGACATTGTTACTCTGATTATTGCTGTGGATTTGCGCAGCCTATTTAAATTCATGCTTTCATCATGCTTTTCGTGGCAAGTTTAGATTGGATGGATGTGTAACTAGTGAGTCTAGGGGACTTGAAACAGTTGGCGTGGCACATTTCGTTAATTTAGAATCTGGACTCATATAGATTTTTGGCTAGAAGTATAGGGCCTCTTCTATACTCTTCTTTAAGATTAAAGTAACAAACAAGATTCTAAGTTTTGAGTAACGTTGTCTTTACTTAAAGTTAATGAATTCAGTTAATATGTCGTGAACTATTTTTTGCGATATCAAAACGAGCATATTCAATAGCGCTTAAGTAAGCCGCATATCTTGTAGGACAAACTGTTACCAGGATTTATCACTTCGACATCTGACACTTTGCTATGTAGGATTAGATCGAGCGACGATGTAGCTGTGTTATTGCACCCGATGAGGCCTAGTTTAAAGACGACAAAATAAATTTTGATCGATTAAGTATTTTATTTTTGCATTATTTAATAGTTCAGTATATGTTTTAGGGATTCTATACTGTCGATCTTTTCATATTACAAAAACAAATGTTTTATACAATTTTTATAATTACTTTTTAAAATCCATACTTTGTGCTAATATTAACATCATATCTGTTTCGACAGAGTCAGAGTTGGATTTGCATCAATGATTTATATTTATTATTATTAATTGAGGACTACTTTGTACCGCTACTCAGGTGGTCTCTTGTGCTAAACTTGATCCTTCTTTTTTGCTTAATCAAACGTGAGTTAGTGTCTAAAGCACTTTTACTCAATGGCGTCTGTGATCATTTAGATGGCCAGACCAGATGCGATCGTGGGTCAATACATATCACTGTAGAGATTGGAGGGCCGTAGACACAAATACTTGAGTTCATAGTTGTTTTCGCCAAAAATAAAAATACGGTTATAATGTTAAATTTAGTTTTTTTTAATTTAATTTAAATT